CATGGTGATGGTCGCTAGGCAACCCAGCCACCCAGAGCATTGTCATGGTGATGGTTGTTTGGCCATCCAGCCAACCAGAGCGTTTTCATGATGATTATTACCAGGTCACCCGGCTACCCAGAGAATTGTCATGGTGATGGTTACCAGGAAACACTGTCACCAGTGTTTTCAGGGCTACAGTTGCTACGCAACTTACACATCCAGAGTTGTCATGGTGACATTACGGGGTACTCAGTCATCCAGAACATGATCGTGATGATGGTCGCCAGGCCAACCAGAGCGTTGTCGTGATAACGGTTTCTAAGCAGCCAGGAGTGTTGCTCTCTCATAGTTAATAGGCTTTGTTTTCATTATGTAACTATCATAACAAGGTAGCAACACATTGCTGCTGTATCCAATTTTGCTAAAAGCTAAACTTACGTATTCTAGTGCCTTAAATTTGATTACTTACATTAAGTAATTTTCTCTGTATAGAGGAAGGGATGAGAATTATTTCAGCAGGTGTGAGTGGATGCATGTCATGTTACGGAAGTACATTATCATGTAATTATCGTCGAATAATTAACTATAATAATGTATGATGTAACCCTTGTCTGAAATGGAAAGCCTGTAGGTTATCGACTTTGCATTAGCCTAGGGTAAAATTGACCTGCACCGTCTCTCATCCATTATACTTGTAACCCTAATTTTTAAAGGGGTAGACCGGTAAGCCAGTGGAAGGCCTCGGTCAGATGACCAAAAGCTCCAGCGGCGGGTCATCGTATGACATAGACTAGCATCAGGAAACACTTGCCCTGTTTACTGGCACACCTTACCAAACCTAATGTCATCTATTTACAGACCAGATCCAGTGGAGTTTAACGTAATATAAGCAAGATAAGTTGGATGGTTTGTTGGGTTTCAAGCCTATCGGCTACATGACGATCATTAAGACTAAATGTCATCTGTGTACCACTAGTCAAGTGTACCTTAATACCAGAGATAGAGATTAAACTCTCAGTAGTTATACACTGAATTATGCACTAGTATATACACTGAGATTCACTGTATATACACAGTGGGTGTATGGTATATGCCTAGATAAAAGGTAAGTTTTAGTATTAATGGTAGAAATACCAACAAATTGTTAGGTAAATGGATACAGATGCAACTAATTTGACATTTTATTGTGACAGCGTTTGGCTTGACCAAGTTCTTGGAGAGTGAAACGTTGCCACAATAAAATGTCACATTAACTGTTAGGTAACTGTGTCCAGTTACCTAACAAAATAAGTTTTATTAAGGAAAACCAACAAATATTTTACAAAGTATTACAAATTTAGCGTGACTTTGTAAATGGTCCAAGTCGGACCGAAACGTCGTCGTATGCTCCTCTATCCTGTGTGCGGGTTATTTATGTATTGTACAAATTTATCCATTGGTTCTGAGAGCGCTTATAATGGTGCAGACATGTAGAGTTAATCTAGAATAATCCATAACGTCAGTGTGACTTACTCCCAGTGGAGGGTCATATTAATGGACGAGCGCAGTGCACTGTCCATGGCGTGTGCGCACGAGGCACAGTTAGCGCGATTTCGAGTTGTCACATGCGGAAGAATTGTGTGATGGCATATTAAATGGACGAATTTTAAAGGGGTGTCACCCTACTGTATTGGTAGCGAAAATGTCAAGGGTTCTTTGTTCAAATACTTCAGAGAAAACGGGTAAACAAGATCAGAAGAAAACGATGGTGTCAGCAGTGTTAGCGGTAACTCGACTATTCCACTACCTTCACACCAGCTGCTTCCGTGTGGCTAGATAATTAGTTATCCTTTCCTTTAGCGGATCAGACTTGATTACCCCTGCTCCTCCATTACCTTGGTGCTATGTGACCCTTATGATTTGAGTGTTTTCCAGTAACACTAATTATATCACCAGCTTCAGTATTCGGAGGTACAGAGGGAACGATGGTGTAATTCTTGACGTTCACCTTTAATCATCCTATGGTTATATTCCGAGAGAGTATATTTGCACTAGCAGGGTGAAAGCATATTTTTGTTTGAAAAGCCAGGATAATGGCTAAGAACATATGATTACATTTTATATTAAGGAATTTAAGGGATTCCCTGAAGAATTAACTCCCTCCTTCCTCATCAACCTTTTTCCATCCTTCAGGAGAAGAACAGAATATAGCTATATAAAGTTTTGCTACAGCCAAGTGCCAGATCAACCAGGCTGTGATGGATTTGTGAGCCAGCGGGTCGCCAGCAGCAACAGGCTGGTTAACCAGACAAACCTGACCCAGGGCCGAACTCTGGCAGCAGAAAAAAATGGTATTCTTATTTTGCACCCAAATTAGCATAACGTAACCAAGCAATAAAACTGACGTAATGCTAAAAAATTTAGTTAACCTATCCTGTATTAATGTTTACGTAACTCACGCTTTTAAGGAATTTTGTTGCCAAAATTCAAGCATTAGGGAATTGCCAATAAACCCCTGGCTGCCTTCAAGAGAGAGCTGGACAGATACCTCAAGTCAGTGCCGGATCAGCCGGGCTGTGGCTCGTACGTTGGACTGCGTGCGGCCAGCAGTAACAGCCTAGTTGATCAGGCCCTGATCCATCGGGAGGCCTGGTCATGGACCGGGCCGCGGGGGCGTTGATCCCCGGAATAACCTCCAGGTAACCTCCAGGTATAACAACAATCTGGTTGATCAGATAGTCACCACAGTGTTCTGGCCTCAGGGCGGGCTGCGAGGGTAGAAGAACGCTTGAAATTAGTCACAGGTATATCACAAGAACGGTAAGTACTGGTGCACAGTAGGCAGGTGCTGCTCTCAGTATGTAACTTGAGAGTCTCTGAAGCTGGCTCATTTGAAGCTACTTGAGTGGCGCTCCTGAGTGGCGCTACTTGAGTGACGCTACTTGAGTGGCGCTAGTTGAATGGTGCTACTTGAGTGGCGCTAGTTGAATGGTGCTACTTGAGTGACGCAACTTGAGGTGTGCTACTTAACTGACTGAGTAACGCTACATGAGTGGCGCTACTTGGCAGTGTTCCGCTCATCTATAACTCACTTGCCAAACCATATATATATTTTTTTTATCACACTGGCCGATTCCCACCAAGGCAGGGTGGCCCGAAAAAGAAAAACTTTCACCATCATTCACTCCATCACTGTCTTGCCAGAAGGGTGCTTTACACTACAGTTTTTAAACTGCAACATTAACACCCTTCCTTCAGAGGGGTGTTAATGTAATATAATATATTATATATATATATATATTTATTATATATATATATATATTATATTATATATATATTATATATATATATATATATATATAATATATATATATATAATATATGATCTTATCGTTTATTGTTAAGAGGGAAAATTTTATAGACACAAGGATTTATCCTTTTTTATATAGGTTTATTTAGGCTTGACAGAGATTTTTCTCTTTTTAACGAATGCATCAAATATGTACCGTCATGTAATTAACATATATATCTCGACCAACTGTTGTTTTATCGTCTTTTATCCCATATTTCTCTACTCCAAGTCTTTCCTCCTCCTCCTCCCTCCTCCTCCTCCTCCTCCTCCTCCTCCCCCTCTTCCTCCTCCTCCTCCTCCTTCCCCTCTTCCTCCTCCTCCTCCTCCTCCTCCCCTCTTCCTCCCTCCTCCTCCTCCCCTCTTCCTCCTCCTCCCCTCTTCCTCCTCCTCTCCAATTCTGTTGCCTGCATCCTCCTCAACTCCTACACTTTCATCCTCCTCCTCCTCCTCCTGAAACTTCTTTCTCCGAAACTTCTTCCTCCTAACTCAAACCCTCCTTTTTCTCGTCTATTTCCAGTATTTTTCCACTCTTCTTTCTGTATCTTCAGCGCCATCTCCTCCTCCATCCCTGTCTGCCAACTGCTTCACACACTTCCCGCTGGCCTGCCCACAACTCTTGGTTATTATGTCACATGTTTGGGTACACTGTGTGCACGTTGCTGTTTTTCCCAGATGAGTCTTCTGGGAGGTACACAATAAAGACGTAATTCAGTATCAGAATAATACGCTTGATTTCTTGTGGGAAGATACGACCATTCTCATTTTCTCTCAGTCAGATTCTTGGTGCAGGGGAGACCTTTCTCTCTTTTATGTTCTCTTTCTTCCCTTCTTATCTATTCTCTATTCTCTTGTTTCCTGTCCTTCTCTCTTCTCTTGCTTTTTATTCCTGTTCTCTCTTCGTTCACTCCTGTTCTCTCTTACTCGCTTCTTTTGTTCCCATTCTCTCTCCATCCCTCCCTCCCTCCCTCCCTCCCCCTCCTCTCAAGGACTCTATAGGGGTTATGCTACGAGCTTTTTGCTTATATTTTCAATGCTAATAACTTTCATCCTATCTGGCCGTAGCAGTAGCTTTGCTACGTATATATATATTATATATATATTTTATATATATATTATATATATATATAATATAATATATTAGTGTCGTGCCGAATAGTAAAACTGGTTATTTTGGCTTAAATAGCAACGCTCATCTTGCCGAATAAGGCAAGCGAAAATTTGTTTTTGTAATAATTTCGCAAAAATCATTCTGAACCTAGCGAAAAAAATATATTTCATTTATTTCCTGTAACTTATCTAAAATATATTTAGTTGGATTAGGCTAAATTAAATTGTACTTGTTATAATAAGGCTAGGTAAGTTTTCTAAGGTTCTTTTGGTACAAAGTTATTAATTTTTTCATCAACATAAATGAAAAAAAAATATATCTTTACACGTATAAGAGAAAATTTTAGAAAGGACTTAATTTTAAATGGGTTCTTGCTAATTGACCAGTTTTACCTATTCGGCACACACACACCCTATTTTTTCATTGACCTATACTACCTCAGTCCTTCCCTTTTTCTTTCTTGCCATCCTTCTTATGGGCTGGCAAATTGGTTTCTGGGACCTCATTCCTGCTCCTGAAGCTGTGTATTGTGTTGTAGAGGGTGTTGCAGGTGTTAACAGTTGTTTGCTTGTATTTCAGAGGGCGGTGGAGGGAGCGAGTACCCGTACCTGAGAGAGATGAAGGAGAGGTTGCTGTTATCACGAGACCCTCCCCTGGCCAGCATGGACGAGTCCTCTCCACATGACGCTACTGACAACCAGATGCTTGAAGTACATCAGACTCCCGTCGGTACCGTGGTCAAGGTCAGTGTTACTGTTGTAGCTACCGTGGTCAAGGTCAGTGTTACTGTTGTAGCTACCGTGGTCAAGGTAAGTGTTACTGTTGTAGCTGTATCATGGTGAAGGTCAGTGTTACTGTTGTAACTGTACCATGGTGAAGGTCAGTTACTGTTGTAACTGTACCTTGGTGAAGGTTAGTGTTACTGTTGTAACTGTACCATGGTGAAGGTCAGTTACTGTTGTAACTGTACCATGGTGAAGGTCAGTTACTGTTGTAACTGTACCATGGTGAAGGTCAGTTACTGTTGTAACTGTACCATGGTGAAGGTCAGTTACTGTTGTAACTGTACCTTGGTGAAGGTCAGTTACTGTTGTAACTGTACCATGGTCAAGGTCAGTTACTGTTGTAACTGTACCATGGTCAAGGTCAGTTACTGTTGTAACTGTACCATGGTGAAGGTCAGTTACTGTTGTAACTGTACCATGGTCAAGGTCAGTTAGTTATAACTGTACCATAGTGAAGGTCAGTTATTGTTGTAAGTGTACCATGGTGAAGGTCAGTGTTACTGTTGCAACTGTACCATGGTGAAGGTCAGTTACTGTTATAACTGTACCATGGTGAAGGTCAGTTACTGCTGTAACTGTACCATAGTGAAGGTCAGTTACTGTTGTAACTGTACCATGGTCAAGGTCAGTGTTACTGTTGTAATTATACCATGGTGAAGGTCATTTACTGTTGTAACTGTACCATGGTGAAGGTCAGTTACTGTTGTAACTGTACCATGGTGAAGGTCAGTTACTGTTGTAACTGTACCATGGTGAAGGTCAGTTACTGTTGTAACTGTACCATGGTGAAGGTCAGTGTTACTGTTGTAACTGTACCATGGTGAAGGTCAGTGTTACTGTTGTTACTGTACCATGGTGAAAGTCAGTTACTGTTGTAACTGTACCATGGTGAAGGTCAGTTACTGTTGTAACTGTACCATGGTGATGGTCCGTGTTACAGTTGTAACTGTACCATGGTGAAGGTCAGTTACTGTTGTAACTACCATTGTGAAGGTCAGTTACTGTTGTAACTGTACCATGGTGAAGGTCAGTTACTGTTGTAACTGTACCATGGTGAAGGTCAGTGTTACTGTTGTAACTGTACCATGGTGAAGGTCAGTTACTGTTGTAACTGTATCATGGTCAAGGTCAGTTACTGTTGTAACTGTACCATGGTGAAAGTCAGTTACTGTTGTAACTGTACCATGGTGAAGGTCAATTACTGTTGTAACTGTACCATAGTCAAGATCAGTTACTGTTGTAACTGTACCATGGTGAAGGTCAGTTACTGTTGTAACTGTACCATGGCGAAGGTCAGTTACTGTTGTAACTGTACCATGGTGAAGGTCAATTACTGTTGTAACTACCATGGTGAAGGTCAGTTACTGTTGTAACTGTGTCATGGTCAAGGTCAGTTACTGTTGTAACTGTTCCATGGTTAAGGTCAGTTACTGTTGCAACTGTACCATGATGAAGGCCAGTATTACTGTTGTAACTGTACCATGATGAAGGCCAGTATTACTGTTGTAACTGTACCATGGTGAAGGTCAATGTTACTGTTGTAACTACCATGTTGAAGGTCAGTGTTACTGTTGTAACTGTACCATAGTCAAGGTCAGTTACTGTTGTAACTGTACCATGGTGAAGGTCCGTGTTACTGTTGTAACTGTACCATGGCGAAGGTCAGTTACTGTTGTAACTGTACCATGGTGAAGGTCAGTTACTGTTGTAACTGTACCATGGTGAAGGTCAGTGTTACTGTTGTAACTGTACCATGGTGAAGGTCAGTGTTACTGTTGTAACTGTACCATGGTGAAGGTCAGTGTTACTGTTGTAACTGTACCATGGTGAAGGTCAGTTACTGTTGTAGCTGTACCATGGTGAAGGTCAGTTACTGTTGGAACTGTACCATGGTCAAGTTCAGTTACTGTTGCAACTGTACCATGGTGAAGGTCAGTGTTACTGTTGTAACTGTGCCATGGTGAAGGTTAGTTACTGTTGCAACCGTACCATGGTGAAGGTCAGTTACTGTTATAACTGTACCGTGGTGAAGGTCAGTTACTGTTGTAACTGTACCATGGTAAAAGTCAGTTACTGTTGTAACTGTACCATGGTGAAGGTCAGTTACTGTTATAACTGTACCATGGTGAAGGTCAGTTAATGTTGTAACTGTACCATGGTGAAGGTCAGTTACTGTTATAACTGTACCATGGTGAAGGTCAGTTACTGTTGTAACTGTACCATGGTGAAGGTCAGTTACTGTTATAACTGTACCATGGTGAAGGTCAGTTACTGTTGTAACTGTACCATGGTGAAGGTCAGTTACTTTTGTATCTGTACCATAGTGAAGGTCAGTTACTGTTGTAACTGTACCATGGTGAAGGTCAGTTACTGTTATAACTGTACCATGGTGAAGGTCAGTTACTGTTGTAACTGTACCATAGTGAAGGTCAGTTACTGTTGTAACTGTTACCATGGTGAAGGTCAGTTACTGTTTTTAACTGTACCATGGTGAAGGTCAGTTACTGTTGTAACTGTACCATGGTGAAGGTCAGTTACTGTTGTAACTGTACCATGGTGAAGGTCAGTTACTGTTATAACTGTACCATGGTGAAGGTCAGTTACTGTTATAACTGTACCATGGTGAAGGTCAGTTACTGTTGTAACTGTACCATAGTGAAGGTCAGTTACTGTTGTAACTGTACCATGGTGAAGGTCAGTTACTGTTATAACTGTACCATGGATGAAGGTCAGTTACTGTTATAACTGTACCATGGAGAAGGTCAGTTACTGTTGTAACTATACCATGGTGAAGGTCAGTTACTGTTATAACTGTACCATGGTGAAGGTCAGTTACTGTTGTAACTGTACCTGGTGAAGGTCGTTTACTGTTGTAACTGTACCATAGTGAAGGTCAGTTACTGTTGTAACTGTACCATGGTGAAGGTCAGTTACTGTTATAACTGTACCATGGTGAAGGTCAGTTACTGTTATAACTGTACCATGGTGAAGGTCAGTTACTGTTGTAACTATACCATGGTGAAGGTCAGTTACTGTTATAACTGTACCATGGTGAAGGTCAGTTACTGTTGTAACTGTACCATGGTGAAGGTCAGTTACTGTTGTAACTGTACCATAGTGAAGGTCAGTTACTGTTGTAACTGTACCATGGTGAAGGTCAGTTACTGTTATAACTGTACCATGGCGAAGGTCAGTTACTGTTGTAACTGTACCATGGTGAAGGTCAGTTACTGTTGTAACTGTACCATAGTGAAGGTCAGTTACTGTTGTAACTGTACCATGGTGAAGGTCGTTACTGTTATAACTGTACCATGGTGAAGGTCAGTTACTGTTGTTAACAGTACCATGGTGAAGGTCAGTTACTGTTGTAACAGTACCATGGCGAAGGTCAGTTACTGTTGTAACAGTACCATGGTGAAGGTCAGTTACTGTTGTAACAGTACCATAGTGAAGGTCAGTTACTGTTGTAACTGTACCATGGTGAAGGTCAGTTACTGTTATAACTGTACCATGGTGAAGGTCAGTTACTGTTGTAACAGTACCATGGTGAAGGTCAGTTACTGTTGTAACAGTACCATGGCGAAGGTCAGTTACTGTTGTAACAGTACCATGGCGAAGGTCAGTTACTGTTGTAACAGTACCGTGGTCAAGGTCAGTTACTGTTGTAACTGTACCATGGTGAAGGTCAGTTACTGTTGTAACTGTACCATGGTGAAGGTCAGTTACTGTTGTAACAGTACCATGGTGAAGGTCAGTTACTGTTGTAACAGTACCATGGTGAAGGTCAGTTACTGTTGTAACAGTACCATGGCGAAGGTCAGTTACTGTTGTAACAGTACCATGGCGAAGGTCAGTTACTGTTGTAACAGTACCATGGTGAAGGTCAGTTACTGTTATAACTGTACCATGGTGAAGGTCAGTTACTGTTGTAACTGTACCATGGTGAAGGTCAGTTACTGTTATAACTGTACCATGGTGAAGGTCAGTTACTGTTGTAACTACCGTGGTCAAGGTCAGTGTATCCTGCTGGTCACTGTTCTTCAATAACATGTTATATGTTGTATGAGATGTGACAAGAACAACTCACTGTATTACCCGGTATATTTAATGTGAGTTTTATTGACATTTAAATTTTAAGACAAATTTTAAAATATAAATGAAACCTATTCTTACATTTTTATTTATATTCTTGATGTGGCTAGAGTCACTGTTCTTGTGAAGAACACCCATGACCTCATATTCCTACACGATTAAGACAGGTTGTACTGTGATCAGTATTAATGATGGTAAACAAATTGACGACGTTTCACTAATACAGTGGATAGGTTAGGTTAGGTAAGATTTGTCAGGAAACAGGACAAGTGTTTCCTGACGCGGGTCTTAGTCATAAGATGACCCACAACTGGAGCTTTTGGTCATTTGACCGAGGCTTTCCTTTGTCTTACCGGTTCACCTTTTTAAAAATAAAAATTATGGTTATGATTGTAACAAACAAAGTGGACTTATCAGATCAGATGATTAAAACGAGAGAGAGAGAGAGGAGAGAGAGAGAGAGAGAGAGAGAGAGAGAGAGAGAGAGAGAGAGAGAGAGAGGACACTTCGTTGAGGAATGGAGTGTGGCAGGTTGGTATAGTCATGTCTTGATCGAAGATATAGCAAAATAGTTTTAATTTAGTGAAATTGTGAACGGTCGCAGTGTACTGCTACCTTGTTATAGAACAAGGTAGATAGATACTAGTTACATAATAGGAACATAGACTACATGTTTACCTGTTATATTCCATCACATAGAATAAGATTCATACATCATGTTAAGAATCACAGCTGGGAGACTTCAGACGGGCGATAACGGTATTGCCTAACATTGCATTCTGGGTTTAGTAGCTACAGCAGCTTCTAAGGTTTCATTTCAGCAGAACCGGAATTACTATTACATGAGAATTACCGTCTCTCAGGAG